GTGTGTGTGTGTGTGTGGCATCATCACAGGGTCCACGTGACTCCCTCGGCATCACTTTAGCAGGAGGAGTGGGCAGTCCCCATGGCAACGTACCTCTTTTTCTTGCGACCATGGATACCAGTGGAGTAGCTGCCAAAACACAGCAATTAAAGGTGTGTGTATGCGTGTGCATGCATCCGTGTGTGCGTGCGTGTGTGTGTCTGTCTGTTTAAACTACTGTACACCTCAGGAAAAGACATCTGTCATTTCCATCAAACGATGAGGACTCATCCGCCAACTTTATTTCTCACAAGACATGCTACTCATACATATGTATCTAATTATTGACGAATATTTCTAACAACCTGAAGACGTGTTCATAGTTGACAAATTGTTTAAAGAGAAAAGTTTCACGTCACTGAAATGTCCTCGCAAAAAAAAAAAAAAAAAAAGTCAAGGTACATTTTTTAGTGTACTGTGTTCCCATCAGCTAGGAGACAGGATCCTCAGTATAAATGACGTCTCCATGGAGGGAATGACTCACATCCAGGCTGGAGCCTTGCTTAAGAATGCCATTGGTGCCGTCACCCTACAGGTAATGTCACCGTTTACTGTACCACAACGTCAAAACACGTTTAAATCACCAACATGATCAAATATTTATCTATTTTTTTTACTGAGAATAGAATTGAATAAGTCCATAATGTGTGCATATGAGAGCCTTTAGTTGTTTCCCGGTAGTGACTAATGGTAACTGGCTAACTGCAATCACGTTCCTTTGATTGCATTTAGTCTTCAATCATTACGGCTTTCAATTAGACACAGGAATGAAATGGCAGAAAATTGCGACTTGTCAAGAGGTTACAAGGATATATCATCGATTTATCAAATAAAGCAATGCAAAAGGTCAAATTAATTAATATGAACGTGCTTTAAAATCTGATGCCTCACTTGACCTTCAACGTAATGACAATGTGGGCCAAAAAGTTTTGCAATTAAGCATCATCCATCTCTCTTAGATAGACTACCTGCTGCCAGTTGGGCCTCATTTGGATGATTTCTCTCGAAGGGCTTTATAAAGTATGAGCCTGGGAATTTGGCCAAAATTGTATTTTTGTGTGCCCTGTTATGATACACATGTTAGTAAATCAGATGTGAGGGGTTGTTCCATCTTTCTGGGGGCCACTGACTTTTGGGATTTCAGGACAGCTTGAATAAGTAGATTTTCAAGGTACATGTGTTTGTACATGTGAAAATATTTCAGAGTTTCCAGGAAAAACGAAGCTCCGAATAAGGCACCTGAAATGCCTGGCCAGTAACAATAATACACAGCAAATTCAAACTCGCCTTTGCACCCCAAGGGGCACACATAGGCCCTTATAAATGAACAGAACTATTTTGTGTGTGTATACTGCAGGTGGCAGCTGGACGCAGCCCTCATCATCCTAGCGGTGTACATGAGCGACCAACAGGCCAGCCCAATAGCCTGGCATGCTTTCACAACAACCTCTGGTACACAGTCTAAACAGCGTACAATTTACACTTGGAAGAGAGGAAACTATTCAGAGTAGTGGATTAATTGTACTCCAAAACGATTAAAGTCAACTTTTATTTGATGAGAACATAAGTTACTCACCCATATTTTATACGGATGATAGTCTCACGTACTCTGAGTGAAGAGATGTTGATCCATTCTGAAGATTTACTCCCGCTGTAGTTGCCGAGGGAGGCATTGGACCAAATCTGGTCTTGTTAGAGTAAAATGTACTCGACAAAATTTACAGAGTAGTGAGCTCACTGTGTCATAATCATTCCCCATTCAGTGAGTAAGTCGTTGTAGTGAAGAGAGCTCGATATCAGTTGTTTGTGTGCATCGCTTCGAGAAAACACAGTATGAAAACAATCCAAAGTTTGTTTGACATTGTCTGCTCACAGCACTCGGATGTATAAGACTGTCAGTCTGGATCGAGGCTCTTCAGGCCTGGGCTTCAGCATCGTGGGAGGCTTCGGAAGCCCACATGGAGACCTGCCCATCTACATCAAAACGATCTTTAACAAGGTCAGACCCAGTCCATGCGGACACACCATGAAGTCATATCATCACACTCATAATTGTTCTATTTTTTTTTTTTTTTTTTTTTTTACGCCAATAGTTGAGCAAAGTTAGCCGGTTTTACACACACCATCAAACGGCAGTGGCGCAGAATGTATAATTTATGAAATAATGACAATTTTGTCTCAATTTACCCGAAGCAAAATCTGTGTCCATTTAATTGAGCACAAAGCTGATATACTCAGAGGGAGCGCGACATACGGTATTTTCCGCACTCTAAGGAGCACCTAAAAGCATTCAATTTTCTCAAAAGCAGACGGTGCGGTGCGTCTTATAATCCGATGCGCCTTATATATGGATCAATATTGTGATTTCTTGGACGTAGCATTTTAAATGTTCTGTACTCCAAAACGATTAAAGTCAACTTTTATTTGATGAGAACATAAGTTACTCACCCATATTTTATACGGATGATAGTCTCACGTACTCTGAGTGAAGAGATGTTGATCCATTCTGAAGATTTACTCCCGCTGTAGTTGCCGAGGGAGGCATTGGACCAAATCTGGTCTTGTTAGAGTAAAATGTACTCGACAAAATTTACAGAGTAGTGAGCTCACTGTGTCATAATCATTCCCCATTCAGTGAGTAAGTCGTTGTAGTGAAGAGAGCTCGATATCAGTTGTTTGTGTGCATCGCTTCGAGAAAACACAGTATGAAAACAATCCAAAGTTTGTTTGACATTGTCTGCTCACAGCACTCGGATGTATAAGACTGTCAGTCTGGATCGAGGCTCTTCAGGCCTGGGCTTCAGCATCGTGGGAGGCTTCGGAAGCCCACATGGAGACCTGCCCATCTACATCAAAACGATCTTTAACAAGGTCAGACCCAGTCCATGCGGACACACCATGAAGTCATATCATCACACTCATAATTGTTCTATTTTTTTTTTTTTTTTTTTTTTACGCCAATAGTTGAGCAAAGTTAGCCGGTTTTACACACACCATCAAACGGCAGTGGCGCAGAATGTATAATTTATGAAATAATGACAATTTTGTCTCAATTTACCCGAAGCAAAATCTGTGTCCATTTAATTGAGCACAAAGCTGATATACTCAGAGGGAGCGCGACATACGGTATTTTCCGCACTCTAAGGAGCACCTAAAAGCATTCAATTTTCTCAAAAGCAGACGGTGCGGTGCGTCTTATAATCCGATGCGCCTTATATATGGATCAATATTGTGATTTCTTGGACGTAGCATTTTAAATGTTCTGTAAAGCGCTTTGTTACAGCTGCAGTGGTTGTGAGCGCTCTATATTAAATTAAAAAAGCTGTATTGTATTGTATGTATTCCTTTTGTCGTAGCTCCATCTAGTGGATGCATAACGCAACTGCAGCCACCGTTGTAGCTTCTATTCCATGCACTTATCATGCGATGCAAAGAGTTTTAAAATTGGCCATTCATTGAAGGTGCGTCTTCTACTCCGAAGCGCCTTATAGTGCGGAAAATACGCCATTCTGATGTCTGAATGGCCACAGTTAAATTCACAGGTTTATTATATCTTCTACCATTGAACAAAAGAGCATTTAATTGTTCTGCCTGTCAATATATGTCAGTGGTCTAGATCGATACACAAGCATATATTATTAATTTCCACATTTGTGTCCCTCGGCACTCTCGTTGGGAAGGATTCTTTTGGCTTGTTTTGTTTTGTTTTGTTTTTTACATCTGGGAGGCCTAATGAAATTCAGAATTATAAATCCATGAATTTCACACTTCAAAACATTGAGTTTTTTTTTTTAAATGTTCCTTGCAAACCTGCATTTCATCATACTTGTGCATGCAGTTTACAGTCTTACCTCTGTGAGGCATCGTTCCCATCATTTTGCTCCGCAGGGAGCAGCCATTGAGGATGGGAGGCTGAAACGAGGCGATCAGATAATTGCGGTGAACGGACACTGTCTGGAGGGGGTGACACACGCCGAAGCAGTGGACGTCCTCAAGAAGACCAAAGGGACTGTGCTTCTCACTGTCCTCTCATGAGTTTGACCAGCAGAGCCCATAATTCATGGAGAAGAGCCTCAAAAGGGAAGTCAATTATTTAAGATGAACTACCTCTTAACTTCGAGCACAGCCCGGGTACTCCATAGTCCCAATATAAATTGTATAATAATATATAAAATGTAATCATAATTCAATCGTTTTTTGGGGGGGGTCAAAAATCAAATTGCATTTTACAATGAAAAAATTCTCAAACGAATTTCACTTTAACAGCGAGCCTGAATAGTTTTGAATAATTTCCAACAACTTTCCTAAATCTGAAATATGCCAAGTGCTTTTGCCAATATTTTGTGTGGCATCAAGGTGGAAGGACTATTTTGTGATAAGTATGGTAAGTTTTATTTAATGATGTTACAAAGCTACTGAGTGAATGATGGTTTTAACGCAAATTTTGTTTTGTTCATTTTTATTGCATAATGTGTGTGTTTTAGGAAGTTTGCCTGTGATGAGTGATTTTTTTCTAATTACCGGTACTGTATTAGTATTCTTATTTTCTGTAAGGTATTGTATTTCATGATTGTTATAGGAACGCAGTGTTTGGAGTCATACAACAACGAAATATGCTGTAAGTGTTTTTATTAAATGATCATTTGTTAGTAAATTACGTCATCTGTTGCACACCTTTGTGTGGGGGGAAGCAGCCTTTGTGGTAGGATTTATTTATTTTTTTTTTTTTTTTTTATGGCAGTGTTCGAATAATTGCTCATTTGTTTTTCTCTTTTGTGTTGTTTCTTTGTTTGTTTGTTTGCCCTCACATGAGGAAAAATAGCATCCAAACACATCATGGATATTTTGAAGCCTCAATATCAAATCTGTAAAAGATATTTTTTCCCCATGTTAACGATTCGCCAAACTTGGTCGGCAAAGAGTAGGCCTATAGTGGAGTGAAGTCCTTACCGACGAGCTATCACCACACACATATAGGTTTTTAAAGGTCAAAATTTCATGGCGAAGGTGAAACATTCCCCTGAAATATGCTTGGATAAGCACTCTAGTTCATAAATGGATGAAATTGATTTATTCATTTCATTTTTTCTTGCTTTTCTTTGATGAATCAGAAGGCCTTTTAAGTGCCACCATAACGAGTGTGTGATGGCAACTGTTAATTTGACTGCAGCTGGCTCAACTTTAAGCAGATGTTTACAAGAACAAGTCAGAGAAATACAGAAATGGCAAGTGAACCTGGCCTGTATATTTTTTTTTAATTGCGCAGAACTATGCATTTAATTACTGGAGTTACTAGTGACAACTTGACATGTAATCCATTTGCACACAAATGTCTCATTTAGGAAGTAGGAAGCACCGAGGGAGATCCTGTCTGTAGCTCTCCGCATTCATCAACACCATCTGCTCGCCTCGACACTTTTATTGAAAGGCAGCCATGACAGTCTGCTTCATCCCTCTCCACATGAACAATTGACTATGAAGAGCCTTTTAAAGTGACTGAATGCCAACATGCTTTATGCATTTAAATGTGGACTATTATTTCCTGCATTATATTTGACTCTCAAAGCCCAAATTGTGGGAAAGAATTGTATACATGTCACAAGTATCACATGTAGTTTTGATTACGGTCCGTCATGTCCATCCAAATCATTTTTCTCAATCATAAGGCAACTATTTACGAAGGCGAGATCAGGAGAACGCAAATAACAGACTGATTTCATGCCCTTTAAGATCCATGGCTCTTTTTCAAAAACTGTGCTGCTGCCCCGCTGTCACAACTCAGTGTTGGTTTTTTTGAGGGGGTGGTTCCCCCCCATTGCAACTTAAGAAATTCTAAAAAGTGCTCAATTGATATGCGAGGAACTCATGATCCTCACTCAGGAGGGTGCGCGAGGTCGGCCAGTTGACAGAATGTGGTGGCTATAACTAGAGGTAACGAAATAATGGTTTGATTCTTAACTATCATGTAATTAATGAGGATTTTTTTTTTCAGATGGCAACTGTTGAGGTTCCCTCTGTTCTACAGAAAACTGAATAGGTTTGCCGCACAGTGTATTCGAAACAAACTGATCAACGAGATTAAATATAGACTCTCACCTTTATTTATTTGTATTTTTATTTTTTGTGATTGCACAAAAATATGCTCTTCAATATTAAGGCATTACAGCCATTTTATACAGACTAGCTCTATTTTCAGCAGCTCCAAAAATATAGATCTATTTTGTTAACATATGTTTCCACGTGTAACATTCTGTACAGTTGTAAGAGTTATTACTTGTGTGTTCTGGCCACAAGAGTGCAGTGTCTGTGCTCTTTTCGCCTGATGACACTTTGGCTGTGCTTTCGACATGACTCATCTGTTCAAGCTAAATAGTATCTAAATGCTTTGATTTGTGAGGCAGCCTCGAGGCTCAGACGAGCAATTTGGTGCCTGCAGGTATACCTGCTATTCAGTTAACTACTGTGTTCACACCCAAATATATCACTTTGGCAATGCATTTGTAACAGTTACGCCCTTTCTTTTTCCGGACGTGGCAAAAAAACTCAAGTTGAAGTACAAATGCGTTAAATATAAATGATTCAAATCCTTTACGTTAAAATCAGCTTTTACAACAAGGCAAAAGGAAGACTGGCACTGATATGATCTAGCCATTTTAATAACTTGGCACCACAATAAACTTTTCAAAACACAAAATAACGTGTATTGCTCTTAATGAGAAGGGGAGAAAACTATAGCATTGACTGAAGCTTTCATGCCATCTTTTTTTCCCCGTGGCTTTATGAATTGAACACTAAATTAGCTGAAAATAACAAGTGAAAAATGTATGGAACCAGTACAGTACAGATATGTGGGGGTTTTTTTTTTTCAAACTATAAAGATAGTCAGATACATTAGAATGGCAGAAACTGGTGGATTTTAATTTAGAATGGTGCATATGCCACAAATCCTTCTTGGAGCTGATGACATGGCTGAGAGTTTGCTTCTTTGAATGCGTTTCCATCATCATTAATGTTGCCTGGCTCACATTCCTCTATGTCAGTGCCGTGCCTGTTGTTTTCAGCCTTTGAAGACAAGATCGCAACTGCGGTTTACTTTACCTTTCTCTATTTACAGGTTTTGTTTGCCATGTCATCATTCCCAGAAGATGAAAAAAGTAATAAGCCTAATTTGACAAAATAAGTACTTGAAAGTGTAAGTAATAGAAAAGATACAGTAAATTTTTTTTTTTTGAATTTACTCCATTTTATGACATCAAATGGTTGCACGAAATAAAATCATCTGGATCCAGATACCGGTACGTTTTTTTTTAAGTCGCCTATACATCGACTTCAAAAAAATCCATTGACATCCAGATACTTTTATTTTGTGAAACTATATGACAAAATACAATTGAGTAAATCCAACACACCATTTTCAGTGTAACATGGTCAGAAAAATAATATTTTTACTTTGTTACTTCTCATTGACACATTTCTAACACCCCATCCACCGCCCTTCAGAATACAGTCAAAACAATGATACACGCGATTAGAAGAAAGGTTTTAACTCAGTGACACTTTATAAAAAGACATTGGGGCTTTCTTTAAAAAAAAAATGCTTAAATGTGTTAAGGGCTCTTTATATAGGCGTTGATTTAGACAACAGATTGTGATTTGTCCAGTCTCCGGTCATCCTCTGAGTATCTCCGGAAGGTTTCCCCCAGCAATGGCTCCAAGGCCTCAGCTGAGCGGTAGGATCGAGCTCGCACCGCACAGGCGATGACACCGCCCACCACTGCCATGACCAGCACTGCCGCAACAATGGCGATGGTGATGATCTCAGACAGAGTGTAGGCACGAACTGTGGTGAAACAACACGTCAAGGTGAGGGGGGGGTTCGCTGCATTGTCACTTGACTGTGTGTTTGTATGCATCCATACCTGGCCACTGGACCTCGTAGGAGTAGCCCAAGTTTTGAGGGGCGGACACAAACATCTCGGCATTTGTGACAGGAGGCCAAAAAGGAACCATGTTGAATTGGCGGTTGTGTCCAATCGGAGCATTCTCCTCAGGATAGACAATCTCCCCTGTGTGGAGGAAAAGAAAAACATTAATTCATCCGATTGCTCTTTCTAGGATGGGCAGACAGACTTTTGTGCTGAGGAGAGTCACTGGTGCGAAAAAAGATGTATTTTCACTTCCAAAAATTGCTCACTGGAGAAAGCAAAAACAATTTTCCGCACTTTGCAAAGCCAAATTCAAACAGTGTATTAGTTGTATGTCTTTTGCATATTATCTCAGAGCAAAACACCCGAGTCAAATCCCATGGAGGTAATTTGAAATTACCTCCACGGGACCTCGCAAATCAATCCTGCTGGATTGTGGTGCTTGAGATTAGAGCGAAACCTCTAACTAAGAAGTTTTGAGTGTTGTTTCTATGAAAAGAATAGAAGAAAATGCTGACTCAAAGAATCGTATTCAAGGATCAAAGAAAGCTGTTAGAACAGCATATGAATCAAAATATACTTTGTATTTGACCGTTTTAGATTAATTCCAATATTTTACTCAAGTAAATATCTGTTACAACTTTTGTAGAAAATAGTAGTTGAAAAATACATCATAACAAAAAAAAAACATTTAAACTTCTGAGAAACCATTTAGAGGGAAGAAAGGCTAAATTAATGGAACAAATATTGGATGCTTGGCAACATTAATGCTCGATGGGCCAAATCCAATACGGAGTGGGCTGTATCTGCCCCCCCAGGCCATACTTTGCCTCACCCTGTTCAAGTATGATATGCTGGGTTGAATATTACCTGGTTGGTGCCGACTGAGCCATTCATCAAAGATAGCGTCGGTGAAAGTGTGCAGCAGGACGAAGATGGGATCATTCGGGGAGAGGTGGGTCTGTCCGCCTGTGCCGTTGAGGAAGAGGTGGGCCAGGTTGTGGAGGCTGCGGATCACTGGATCATACATCCCCTGGGGAGCGCTGTAGCCTTAAAAAAATAAAAATTAAAAAATGGCAAAACATTTAAAGTACAGAACAATATGAAGTGACTTCCAAAAGTTTTTTCACTTCTACTGTGTCAGGCTTTTTGGAAATAAAGTTTTAAGTCACGTGTACACTTCACAGGTTTCTTTTAGTTGAATCTAACTCTGGCGCGAGAGCTCTGAAAGAATAGCTCATTCAATCAAGTGTGAATGCTATCAGTGAGATCTTTTTGCACACCGGGGCTAGGAGAGGTCAACCTTCGTGTGAATTAATTCAAAATTGCATTGAAAAGCATCAGCAAATAACAAGATGGCATCAGAGTTTCTTTTTTTGGAATGTGCTTCAAGTGGTTATGTAGAATATATTGAGATACATATATATCCACTGCTAAAAAAACTTTATAATAATAACGGCAACACTTGTAGTTACATTGCGCTAAGTGTTCCCTTTATTTTTTTGAACAGTCTATCAAGCTAGTTAGCTATCTGGCTATTTATCTATCTATACATGTGTGTTCCCTTTATTTTTTTGAGCAGTCTATTTCTCAAGCTAACTAGCTAGCTGTTTGGCTATCTATCTACAGGTATTTATACATGTGTGTATCTTTGTGATGGCTTGTGTGGGGTTCAAACTCCGTCGGTCTGTGCAAAATTTCCCCAAATTTGAAAGTGTTTTTTAATTAATTCGGTGTATGATGTTTAGTCTCAACCCCTTCTTCTTTGACAGATTTTTAAGGTCTATAATGTAACCAGTCACGGAGAATTGTCCTTTTTTATAATTAATGTCTTCTCTGGTATTCTATTTCTGACCTTTATGCTCAATAAGCACACGACTCTTGCCTTTAAATATTACTTTTGTAGTGCATGTTTTATGGATTTGAAAGTTGCAATGCAAATGAAGTTCACTGTGTTTCTCTCAGAGGTCAGATGAGAAGGAATCGTGACGCGTCATTGCACACCTTCAATGGAGTTCCTGAAACTCTCGGAGGAGGTGGAGTAGTAAGGCGGGGTGTCGAAAGTGTTGAGCTGCAGACAGTCCAGCACGTCCTGGGGCTCGGGCAACCTCTGCACCATGGGCCGTGCCACATTGCCCGCCGGA